TCGTTCTATTAGAGGTTTTACGGTAATTGAGCTCAAAATTAACGGGTTGGGTGGACTGCTTTTAGAGAAAATATGGTAATTCTTCTAATTTCGTTTTTCTCCCCAATTTTCAGAAAATCTAATTTTACTGAATGCAAGGCTGAAAGTAATGGCAGTAATAATTTTTAACAAAATTTAAGCCTGTTATTGAAAAGTAGATCAAAAAGTTTGACGACCTCAATTTATGCCAAGGAGCTCATATTTTACCAAATTTATCTCGGCTCCTATAAGAGATATAAAAATGTTGTCAACTGATAAATTGTTTATCATAATATCAAAAATATTTAATCAGTTGAACACTTTTTGATATCTCACACAGAAACCGAGATAAATTAGATCAAAGGTTGAGTATCTATAGTATGTATAATTCTGAAAAATCTAGATTCTTTTTTTTCCAATTGTCCCAAAAAATAGCCCCAATTCAAGCTTGTTTTGAACTCACCAAAACTGGAAAAATCAACCCCAATAGAAAGTTTATGTGTATTGTTGGACTCCTCCTCCGACGCATTTTTTGTGGATTCTGAAAATTGGAAATAGTTGCGTTGGGAAGCTTCAGGAAAATATGAAATTCTAAAATCAGAAGGTTCTAAAAATCTAGGAATATTGAAGTCTCAGGAAAGTTAAAAAAATTTCACACATGCTGAAATTGAGTAATTCAAAACCCAAAAGAACTCAATTTTCTGGAACCAAAAATGTTCAGAATGCGTCATTTGGGAAAAAAAGAGATAGAGAGAAAAAATCAGCGTAGAAACAAAAAACTTGATTTGTTTTGTTCTCGGATGGCTAACGATAAAGAGATAATGGATAAAGGAAGAGAGAGAGAGAGAGAGAGAGAGAGAGAGAGAGAGAGAGAGAGAGAGAGAGGCCATGGGAAAATAAATAAATTGTTGCCGAATGTTGCCGCTGGGTGGTCATCTCTGAGAAATAATTGCATACGAGGAACAGTGATTTTTACAGGGAAATATATTATATTTGGTAGCATCTGATTATATGTATAGTGATAAGGATATCAGGTGTTATGCCTTATCAGCAGACATCAAGGCAATAATAACCGTTAAACCTGGCAAACACACTGTCAAGATTGAGCTCAAATATCTCGATTTTTTCGAAAGATATGAAAAACTTGTAGATTGATAAAATATTTTTGACATTATGATAAACAATTTATCAGTTGACAACTTTTTTGTATCTTATACGGGAACCGAGAAAAATAGACTCGAAGTTAGCCTTTTGGAACTTTGAATTAAAATTTGAATCATAAATTCTAAATGTTCCTTATCAGTACCCCTCAAATTGAATATAAAATCCTATGTTTTCAAAGTGAACTGATTCAAAAAATTCAACCATAAAAATATTATTCGCAGCATGCGATAAGAAAAATGACAATGCGTAATTTTGTATCCCGATTCAAATAAAAGAAAATCCGAGAATTGCGCGTTTTCTCTGATAAGAATACAATAGCGCTTATTATCAGATTATCAGGTTTATGTAATTCTTGATTCTGAGGATGAAGAGATTTTGGGAGAATTCGAATTTTCGAAATATATGAAACTTCTACAAAAAATATACCGTCAAACCTTGAGCAGAAGAGCCCCCTTAATTTATACTTTGAGCTCAGTTATCTCGTTTCCTGTGAAAGATATAAAAAATGTGTCAACTGAGAAGATATTGGTGATATTGTGCTAAACAATTTATCAGTTGACAACTTTCTTATATCTTTAACAAGAGCTGAGATAAATTGGCTCAAACTGAACAATAAGGGCAGTTATATTAGAGGTTCTACGGAAACTGAAACATTCAAACTTTTTCAAAACTTTGAGAGTCAGAAATAGTGAAAAACGGTTCAAAAGTTTCAAAAAAATAAGTTTATCCTTTAATTATAACAGCAATGAGTTCCTTGAATCCCATTATATAGATGGCCGGTTCCTAGGTCCGGTATCCGGCTCTTCCAGTTTTTGAAACCTCTTTTTCTTCAATTTTCTTTTCCAAAACACATAATTTATCAATTTGAAGGGTTTAGGTGACAAAAATCAAGCTGCCAGTCTTCCAGCACATTAAAGATGACATTAATGGGTTAGTGATATATGATTAGGGCAGTGATAACAGAAACAAGACTTGGAACAGATTTCCAGGGATTGAAACCAATCATTTGAGGGCTGAATTGGCATTAAAACACTCTGAAAGTCTGAAAAACCAATATGAGGAAATGTTTCAGATTATATGAACAAATTTCGGAAATCTAGATATCCATAAAAAATTTGATACGTCTTCTACATTTGAAAGTGAATCAGAAGAGAAAATGAAAGTGTGATAAAACCATTTTATGATTTTCTGAATCCAAAATTTTGATATTCCTAGAACAATTATGAGCCGCACCCTTTTTATCGGAAAAGGGAGAAACAAGGATTTTCACTTTTTACGACACATTCCATTAGGTACTAAAATTTGAGATTATGATAAGAAGATGGAAAGAGTGGAATCTCAAAGAAAAGAACTTAAAATTTGATAATATAGAAATGGAGGGAATTTGAAGGAAATAAAATAAAAGTCAGAGATTTTTCCAAGATTTTTGAAGTTCGGGATTTCTTTGAAAATGAAAATGTTTGAAAAATCTTGGATAGATCGTAACCAATTATTTGGAGAATTCGTTTAAAAATTCCAGACTTCTGAATTACTGATATCAGATTGCAAAAATTTAGAGTTTCCAAACTGTAATGATTAATGGATTCCAAACTTTTAAGCAGAAGCTAGAATTTTAAAGGGCTGGGTCACTTTGACCCTAGTTATCTCGGCAGCTATTAGAGATTCCAAAAAGTAAACAAGTATAAAATGTTTTCAACAAAAGACGTAACTAGAAGGAGAGGAGGCCTCCCCCTGAGCTCAATTATCTCGGTTCTTTCCATAGATATCGAAAATTTGTCAACTACCAAATTGCTCATCATAATATCACCAATATTTTATCAGTTGCCAAACTATTGATATCATATACAGGAAATGAGATAATTGAGCTCTAAGTTGATAGTGCAGGGACCCTTCTATGACAGGGTTTACAGAAACTAGAAATTAAAGGGGGACTCCGGTCAATTTTTTTCTTCCCCATTCTCTAGGTTCATCTCGTTAGGGATTTTATCTAGAACTCCCGTTATAACTTTTGTGTCATATTTTCTTCTGATCAATAAAGTATCAAAGGTCAACTACAGAATGAAGCTCAAGCCAAATTTCTTTAAACCCTAGTTTTTGAATTTGACCTTTCATTTTTTGGATCTTTGAAACTTTTTGAGCGCTCAATGTTGCGAGAACGAACTTTTGAGATTCTCATCTTGAGAACCTCTCCACTTAACTGGTCAAGAACACTAAACTGGGACACCGTACTCCGAAATTTCATCTTTTCGAGTCAATATCAAAAGTAATCCAAAATTAGAAATTTCAAATTAATTCCAAACCAATTAACACATACACCCCCTATTCCGTTTATCCTCCTCATTCCAAAATTCCTCGCCGCTTACCCATCACACATTTAACACACCGCAATCATTTTCTCCCCACCCCCCGGAGGACCCGCAGACAAAAACTCGTTCTTTTTTCTGACGATATCTTGTGTGTTCGGCATGAAAAAGAGGGGGGGGGGTTTAGCCACCCCCGAAATAGAGAGAAAAGCGATATCTTTTGTTTCATTATACTTCTGAGAGAGACAATGTACTAATTACGCAAGATGCTTATGACTTTTTTCTTCGCTTCTTTAAATCTTGCTCCTCCCGTTTTTCTGTAGTTTTGTAACTTTGACCCCATTGGCAGAAGTAAAACTAATAAGCATCAATTAGC